ATTGTGTATTTGTTGGTGGTAATTTTGTCTCTTGAAAGAGTAAAAAGCAGACTGCTAAATTTTTATTATAAATAGTGTGAGAGACTAACACAATAGTTAAGCCTTCTTATTCTTTTACTTCAACAATAGGTATTTTAATAAGTTGAAAGATTGAAAGTGATTGATTTAGGTTGTATCGAGTCCCAAGAATTAGGTTTTGTATTACAGTTGGTTTCTACTATTTTTAACTCCTTTGAAACATTTTGTTTTCCACTGGAGAATTCTTTTCTTTGCTTATGCCAATATTTAAGTGTAGCTGCATTATGCATTGCTTGACATTCAAAATTCAAATTATCTTACATTGTATTTTTCGATACAATTGTCAGATGAGTTTAACAGTGGATTCTCCAATACATTCGTCAAGCAGTGATGACTTTGTAGCCATTCTAGATGCAGAGCTGGATTCTGCTTCTGATGCATCACCTGATTCTGAAGGAATAGAAGAGAAGCAAGTGGAATATGTTGTTGATGATGATGATGACGACTATAATTCTAACCATCGAAGGTACTCTAACAAGTAATTAAATTGGTCGATGTGAATGAAACAATCTGCTGCTGCACTGATGTGATCAATTATTTGATGAACAATAACATATGGCTTTTGGGGTTTGGATGGGCGATGCAATCTAATAGTATACATCCCTAAGTTTTGAAGCTAAAATGTAGCAAAAAAAGATCAACATTGAACAAAGTACACCAAGTAATTCTCTAGTGCCGTAAATGTACCATGCTAAAATTCATTGGAACAAGTGTGCCTAACAGATCCAACACTTTTGGTATTATATCGTTGTGGATAGTAATTTTTTTAATATTTGAAAGAAGAAAGCCTAATGGGCCATTAGTCATTCCATGTAGAGTGTCTAAGGTTAATATTTCCCTACTCTCTTAAAAGAGAGGGTTTGAGATTCACTATTCATTTGGATTTTCTACTCACATATTACTGTTTTATATGTGGACAAAAAAATAATAATAAAAGATAGCCATCTTTATTGACTTAATTGATACTTGTATTTATAAAAAAAAAAAAATTCTATAAACCGACTTAGTGAGGAGAAACTGTCAATTGCAGTTGATATTTTATAAACATCACGTACTGGAGAAGCAAACTAATTCCTCATATATCTTTTAATTCATTATTCCTATCAAATTTTCTGACTTTCTCTCTCGCTGTGAAGATGTAAAACAATCTCCATCGAGTAAGGTTCATATTGTAATTGTAATGGTTATATAATTTCACCAGAGTTCCTAACCTTCAGTTGTTTACTCATTCTGCTAAACATTTTACTCAGCGTTGTTGTAATTTGGATTTTTGTTTAGCATGATGATTTGAAGTACCTCAGTTTCTATGTTTAAATTTCAGATGACATCCTACTTCAGGTTATTTCTTTATTAGTTCATGTAACCATGTTTCAGAATAAATCTTGGATATTAATGATATTTTTGAACCTACTTCAATTTATATAACATAATTAGGTTTGCCTATGCATGTCTTATGATTTTGTCGTAGATTATTGTTAGCACGTAAAAAAAAAGGAGAAAAAAAATTGAAGACTGTAGAATATCTTATTTCTTATGTATATATGAATTGTATTTTTTCCAGTCAATAAAGTAAAATAGTGTAACAATTGGAATTACAAGAGAGAATGATTTTGTATTATTGTTAGAACATTAAAAAAAGGAAAAAAACTAAAAAATAATAATAGGTAAGGACTCCGAACTATGCGGAGTGTCTCCGCATAAGTGCGGAACTCAACTCCGTATTGTGTGGAGACACTCCGCATTATGCGGAGCTCAGCTCCTCACAACTCCGCACAAATGAGGAGTTCGAACGCACAAATAACTCCTCATTTGTGTGGAGTTGTGGAGCTAATCCGCACAAATGCGGAGCTGAGCTCCGCATAGTGCGGCTTCACATTTGTGCGGAGTGTCGACTCCGCATCTGTGCGGAGTCGCTCCACACAGATGCGGAGTCGACACTCCACATCCGTGTGAGTAACACTCCGCATCTGTGCGGAGTCTCTTCGCACAATGCGGAGCAAGTTTTTTTTCTTTTTCTTTTTTTTACAATTTTTTGTTTCATTTCATATATAGATAAAATCAGAAGTTCTTCCGTAGCTCCGCACCAGGGCCTTCTCTTTTTATTTCTTTTTTTTGCCACAAGTTCTACTTATTTACATTTTACACAAATTATAAATACAATTTCACTTATTAATAATTTAATTCAAAAACATTAGAAAATATTCAATTAGTACATACAAGAAAATCAAAATTCCTTCCGTCGCTCTACAAGAAATGCAGTATCAAACACTTTTTGACAACCAACAACAGTTCTTCCAAAAACAACAACAATGGCA